TGTTGTATGACAGTCTGATGTTGTATGACAGTCTGATGTTGTATGACAGTCTGATGTTGTATGACAGTCTGATGTTGTATGACAGTCTGATGTTGTATGATACTCTGTTGTATGACAGTCTGTTGTTGTATGACACTCTGTTGTTGTATGACAGTCTGTTGTTGTATGACAGTCTGATGAAGAGGATGCTGAGGGTTGTCTATAATGCTCTTCATTTGATGAAGAATCCTTCTTTGTACAATCATCTCCAAAGGTTCTCGAGGAGTCCCCAGAACTGAGCCAGCCTTCTTTATGAGCTTGTTGATCTTTTTGAAGTCTCTTGCTCTGGTGCTGCTCCTCCAGCAGATGATGCAGAAGAGATAGCGCTCTCTACAACAGACTTGTAGAAGATATGCAGCATCTTGCTGCAAACACTGAAGGACTTCAGCTTCCTCAAGAAGTACAGTCTGCTCTGTCCCTTCTTGTAGACGCTTCACTGTTGCATTTCCAGTCCAGTCTATTGTCCAGGTGATCTCCAAGGTATTTATACTTCTCCACCACCTCCACTTCTTCTCCCATGATGGAAATAAGGTTGGACCTGTTCCTGATTCTCCTGAAATCTACAATCATCTCCTTTGTTTTGTTCACGTTCAAGATGAGATGATTGTTTCCACACCATGCCACAAAGAGGTCCACCAGTTCCCTGTACTCAGCTTCTTGTCCATCTCTGATCCACCTGACCACTGCAGAGTCATCTGAACATTTCTGCAGATGACAGGAGTCTGTTTTGTAGAGATATTCTGATGACTCTGCAGTTCTCTGTAGTTACTGTTTGGCCACTTTTAGCTATTGTTCAGCCAATTCCAGCAACTGTTCTGCCACTTTTAGCTACGAGTCTGCCAAATTTAGCTACTGCTCTGCCACTTTTAGATTTTAGCTGCTGTTTGACCACTTTTAGCTACTGTTAACCAATTCTAGCAACTGTTCTGCCATTTTTAGCTACTGTTCTGCTAATTTTTGTTACTTTTCTGCCACTTTTAGATTTTAGCTACTGTTTGGTCACTTTTTGCTATTGTTCAGCCAATTCTAGCAACTGTTCATCCAATTTTAGCAACTGTTCTGTTACTTTTAGCTACTGTTCTGCCAATTTTAGCTACTGCTCTGCCACTTCTATCTATTGTCCTGCCACTTTTAGCTTTTAGCTACTATTCTGACACTTTTAGATTTTAGCTATTGTGGGGTCACTTTTGTCTATTGTTCAGCCAATTCATGCAACTATTCTGCCACTTCTAGCTACTGTTCTGCCAATTTTAGCTACTGTTCTGACACTTTTAGATTTTAGCTGCTGTTTGGCCACTGTTAGCTAATGTTTTGCCAGTTTTAGCTACAGTTTTGCCACTTTTAGATCTTAGCTATTGTCTGGTCATTTTAGCTACTGTTCTACCACTTTTAGCTACTGTTGTGACACTTTTGGCTTCAGGCTCTTTTTTCTACATTTAGTTTTTAGCTAGTCTTTCCCCTCAATACCCACTTTATCTTTTGTTACCTTTTGTTTGTTTTCTTAGCTAGTCATTTGGTATTTTCAACTTCGAGTCACCTTTTAGCTTTGAGCTAGTATTCGGCTTCTTTTAGCTTGAACAACTCGTTTTCAGTTAATTTGGTGAATTTCAGCTGTTGTTCAGTGCTCACTCTGCATTTAGTTCTGCTGATTTTTGGCTGCTTGTTTGAATGGAACTTGTGTTTTTGACTGGCAGTTTAAATATTTAGTCTTTTATCACTTATAACAGTTCGATCATCTCAGTGAAGTTATAAAAACCGTTAAACATTTTATTTGATGTCGTTGTGTATGATGTACTTTTGACATCTTGTTTGTGTTTTGGCCCTTTCAGATGCTTCTTTTTTCATTGGGCGGGTCCTTCCTGTATTACGCCGACCACTTCAAGCTCTACAGCGGTTTCTGCGCCAACCACATCAAAGTCCAGAAGGTTCTGGAGCGAGGTACCTTCTGAGACCAGAACATCCCTTAAAGTTGTAAAGTCTGTTGTTGTGCAACGTTATCAGAATAAAGTACACACAAACCCAGAGAAGTAAGAGATGATTCTCTGACGCAGCAAAAACAGACGGAGCCTTCAAGCACTTCCTGGAAACGAGGAATCCGACCAATCAGCACTCGTCCTCCCTGGAGTCGTACCTGATCAAACCTGTTCAGAGAGTCCTCAAGTACCCGCTGCTGCTGAGAGAGCTGGTGTCACTAACTGACCCGCACAGCCCGGAACACACTCACCTGACAGGTAACACGCGCACCCACCTGGAGGGGGGGTCTCTGCTGAACGCCTCGTCACTTCCTGTAACTCCTCCTCTGTCCGACCAGAGGCGCAGAGAGCGATGGAGAAGGTGGCGACTCACATCAACGAGATGCAGAAGATCTACGAGGATTACGGCTGCGTGTTCGATCAGCTGGCCGCTGAGCAGAGTGGAGCTGACAAGCAGGTAAACGAGCACACCTGTCGTTGTCATCTTCAGCACCTGAAGGGTTAAGACGGCCTGACTCTGCCCCGTCTCTCCTCAGGTAACAGAGATCTCAATGGGGGAGTTTCTGGTCCACTCGTCGGTGATTTGGTTGAACCCTCTGCCGTCTCTGCGGCACCTGAGGAAGGAGCCTCAGCTCACGCTGTTCGGTGGGTTCAAACTACCGTCACTGGTAGTTTGTCAAAAAAATAATAAAAATAAATGGTAGTTATACGTGAACAGCCTGGTACTTACAGGCTGGTACAGGGGACATACTGGTACCTAGTACCTACCAAGGGAACCGGGTACATAACTTGTAAAAGTACAAGGTTCACCTTACAGCCCGGTCACAGCTGGTACCGTAATTTCCAGACTACTGAGCACACTGAATTTAAGCTGCGCCGCTATATTTAAAAATAAAAATAATTTTGTACGTACCAGTATATAGGCAGCACTTGTCTAAGAGCCGTGGGTGTCCACATTGTAACATGAGATGTTTACACAGAAAGATTTTTTTAACTTGAATTAAAAACTGCAGCGTGGCAGCACACGGCTACTGAGAGATGTTCAGCTCTTGTTGTAGATCAACAATCAACCACCACATGATGTTCTATAGACACATGATGAACACATGAACTAACACATGATGAACACATGAACTAACACACGATGAACACATGAACTAACACACG